GGTCTGAGAGCGCCAAGCTTTTTGATCTCACGACAAACATGTTTTATAATAAATTATTATTTTTGACGGCAGTCATTCTTTCATTTAAGCCAAATACAGGTACAGGATCTCGCATTAGATATTTCACTAATATAATTTTTTCTCTATATTTCTTTCCTAATTATAGTACTTAATTGCATTGAAAGGAAGTGAACTCCAAGCAAAATAGGCACACACACTATAATGCTTTCATTTAATCCATTCACACAGTTATTGATAACTATTCTAAAGAAGAACTATAAAAATGTAGAACGGAAGATCTCCCTGATTAATCCTCAGGCAACTGCGTTTCGGGGTATCGTTAAGGTGTCCTAGATTTGTGTTGCGGAACACAAATCAAAAGACAGAGAGAATGAAAGAGAAAGAGGCCCTTGATTTTTGGGGCCTCTGCGTTGCAGTTTCCCTTGAACTAGATTCCAAAAGGATTCGGTTTAGAGTTAGAATTCGGCTTCGGTTTAAGAGGTTCGGGGTCACTGTTAGACGTGTACTGTGTATGACGTTTGTGGGGGCATGATAACGCTTAAATCTAGAACTCTCTAATAGATATCTCCAGGAGGCTCGCGCAAGACTGCCCGTAGTACGGGTTACGTATACCTGTGTCCAGCCGAAGGGACATAAGGTGTCAGTGCCATAAACCTCTACATCATTATCTGATGGTTCTTAGTCGGTATTATTTCTTACTCAATAAACCATTCGGTTGTATCCAGTTGATCCACATATAAGAGTCAGCGACCAGTCGTAAACACTACATAAATATTACTTCTTTTCGTGGTATCAAACCGTTTTTCCTCCCTAATGCATGTTTTCAGTTTGATGCATTTATGTATATTGGTTTCTAGAAGTGAAACAGGAAAAAAAGTGAAGCACCCAACTTTTAAAGCAAAAGTTTATCTGCCTTTAACCTATGCATGTTTTCCGACGTCATACCCTTTAAAAATATCATTTCATATTTGCATTCTTCGTTTAAGTGATAAATGTGCTTAAGTGGATCGCGACGTTGTTAATTTTGTGTTGTGCTTCGACTTTGTCCTTACTGTGTTATTGAATGTTGTTGCTCTTTCTCTCAGTTCAACCAGGCCTTTCTCTACGTCATCACTTCCCCCTCGCTCAAAGGGATGGCCGGTTTTCATGTGTGATGCATTCAAAACTTTGCTTGCCCTTACTCT